GATTGGAATATGGCGGTCCGGCGGTCTTTCCTTGTACGGCTTCTAAGGTTCCCCAACTGGAGAGAGTTCAATGGCTACTACACGCCTCGTCGAAGGACTACGTGGGATTAGCTACGAGGGCCGACTGAGTGCAACGGGATTGTTTCCCATGTCATACAGATGACTGAGAGGCCACCTGATCTACACCAGACGCATCATCCGGGGCGATTTTGGCCCAGAATTGCGGTTGAAATTCACCCTAACAACAACCGCATCAGGAGGCATGCGCTGACGCTCCGCAAGATGCAGTCAAACGGTCTATCGCTGATCTATCGTTTGCCGAGGAGGGTGACAAATCTCTGGAAGGCGCCTCCGGAGGACGTGGTGGAAGAGACAAACGATAGCATCTGAAACTCGACAGCAGCTATGCAGAAGTACTGGTCTGGTGTCAGCACCTAATCAGCCCAGTGGAGCACAATGAGATGGGGCTAATACGGGGACTCCCACTGCCCTTAACACTTGGAGACTTGATGTGCCACGTGTTGTTTTATTGTGGATGTTATAATGTTAATAATAACATTCACAATAAGACTTGTTATTGTTGCTGAAACTCGAAATGTTAATTTATCTTGATAAGCACGCGGAATCCAAAAGCGTGAAATTTATCTTATAGAAAATACTTTATCATGCTCTCGGTTTGATTTTCTCAATAAACCAGTTATTGTTTTGATTTTTTTCAGTCGGTCACAATATTTGCTTTATGCAGTCTAAAGGTCGAGTATCATTTAGCACGCTTAAAGCCAAATTGGAATCGTATAGAGCCACACTTCCTACGAGTACCAAACTGGACGCTTCGACAGTGTTGACAGCTAAAGTAGAACCAATCAAACAGGTAACGCCGAGGACACTCACATCGAACGAACCTGACCCCGAGGAACGAGTAAGTTATTCATCTTTTATTGTGTGCTTTTAGTTTCATGCAGCAACCTCAAAAACGCAGTTTGACTTCATGATCATTTTTTCCACTCAGTGTGGTACAGTGACGGACGCGGTATTGGGAGACGAGGTATAACAAAATATGTGGATATTAAGGAGATTAGATGTTCCTCTTTTGTCATTGGAGACCCCTAAAAATCCCGTGGCCCGTTTGCTTGAAATACTGCATACTATTCTACTATAGACTGAAAACTATCGTATATCTCATCCGAATCGATCTAGCAGACAACAGAATATTATGTTATAAAAGAAACACGTTTCAGATGTATAAAAGCCCTGTCTATTTACAGTCGCCAGTGCATTCTGGAATGATCCTTATGAATGAATGAATTGAAACTTTGAGGAGACTACCTAAAGATTCATTTGCATCCCGCAGTTCATTCACTGCACGTTTTTCTCTTTTATCCCGCAAAATTACTTGTTTTACTGTCGTTTTTCTCAATCTAAACTTCCAGACTGCACCTTGGCGTGGTGGTTTGCGCTCCTCAATGACCCTGCGAGCTATACAGGATGGCTCCTCAGCCGCAGATCCAATCATGCCTGAAAGGTCAAGGGGTAGAAGCCAGACGAAGATCAGTCCCAGAAGGCCAGCTGCTTGGGCATGTCCTGGCTTCCTTTTCTATCCACACCTGTCCATGGAGAGGTCACTCCAGTAAATAAACGCGGTGAGGGGTAGTTTGCCGGTAAAAAGAACCCGTTAGATGGACGTAGGAGCGGGGTATCTTGGCTTCCTCTCGACAGTGGGAGAAGTCTTCGTACTTCATTGGACAGATACCACCCGTCCAAGCTGAGCAGCCCCCAGCCAATAAGGTGCTGTCCCGTCCACGATCCGCTTGTCTCATTGGATGTATAAGGCTAAGGGCCGATCCCGAAAAGCGGACCGATAATCAACGCACCAGCGAACAACAAACTG